AAACTTGTTATATAATTTATTGAGGCTATTTCAATGCCTTGGGCTACATTTACTAGATGTATGTGCACACACATACATCTGTGCATGTAGAGCAACTAATGGGCATAGTTCTCTCCTTCCATCATGTGGGTCCAGGGATTGAACTCAAATCATCAGGCTTGGGGCAGGTGCCTTTACCCCACTGAGCCATCTTTATGGCCCTAGCATTTTATTTTATATAACTGTAAAATAAACAAGTATTAAACACAAAATAACAATGGCTCACCAACAATATTGGGTGTACAGTTCTTAATCGAAGCCACTTTAAAAGTGTCATCCAAAGTTCAGGAGAACACACACCAAAAGCTGCTAACATGCACACATAAGGAGTCCAAATGAATTTCAAGCTGAAAAACAAATGTCACATATCAAAATAAGTAACATATCATACATCCTGCAGACACCATTATCTATCTGATTTCTCCTTTCTAAATTCTGTTTAACTACCCACAAATATTAATGGATAATGAAAAATCTTTACTTCTAATTTTCAGCAACAGATTAGTGTCCAATTTGTTGTTATTTGTTTTTGATACAAGGTCTCATTGTGTAGACCAGGCTGGCACCAAACTCACAGACTCACGTCTCTGCTTCCAAGTGCTGGGATTAAAGGTGTGCACCTCCATGTGAAGCCCTCTTTTCTTTTCCTGTTTTTTTTTCCCTTGTTTTGAGACAGGATGAGATCCCTCAGTGGTCCAGGTTGTGTGAGAACTCACTAGGCTGACATTTACTAGAGTGAGTCTCTTGCCTCAGCCTTTTGAGTTTACAGGCATGAGCCACTGTGGCTGCTTTTCCTTTGGTCTTTGGGAAAAATCTCACCCTGTAGTCCCCAAACTCAAGGCAATCCTCCGGCTTCAGCCTTCTGAGTGCACAAGCTGCCATACTGACATTCCTTTTAATTTTTTTTTTTAGGTAAGGTTTCAAGTATCAAAAGCTAATATAAAACTTGTGATGTGGCCAAGCCAAGGATGACCTTGAACTTCTGACTCTGCTGCTTCTACTTCTGTAGTACTATAATTACTCAAGTGAGTCACCTTGTCCAGTTTTTAATCCACTTTTATTTAAACAGAAAGAAGAGGCTGGAGTATAGCTCAGTGATAAGAGTGTTTGTCTAGCATATATGAGGCCCTAATTTAATTTCCAACACAAGGACAAAAAAATCAGAAAGGATGGAAGTAGAGAAGAGGAAAGGGACAAACTGGGAAAGGATACTTTGCTCTGAATTACAATCTAATAATAAATTATCACGCAAAAAGCCTCACAAATGACCTCTTGTCATACTTATTTTCATGCGTCTTCCTTTTTGAGAATACATGTTAATCTTGCACAAAGAGAGCTCTGGCCTCTGACCTTCACTCTTGGGATTTAAGTACCTGTCTCACAAGAATGGCTTTGTGAAGATGGGGTGGTTAAGCCAAGGCTATGAGTTAAGCTAAGAGCATTTATTGTGGGTCTTTGGGCCACAAAGTATCAATTCAATCTCTGGAGAGGCTTCAGAATCAGGCCAGCCACAAGTGCCCTCCTTCATATATGACTGAACACCAACAACAACTAAACACGAGGGCTTCCCTGACTGACAGCTGTGTCCCCTGTGTACTACCATGTTTGCACTCCTCCTGAAAAGAAGGCACTTTCTGTGCATCTCCACAGCATGACAGCTAGTGTCCTATGCCCATGTGTCTCCTAGACCCTATTCTGTGTGTCTCTTTCTTCTCTCATTATACAGCCTGTTTCACTATTCTGGTTGTGTAAATCCTAGTAATAAAACCCATGCTGTGGAATATGCACACTGTGAATATGTATTACTCTCATTGGTTAATAAAGAAGCTGATTAGGCAGGACAATCAAATTGAGGGCACTGGGATGAAGAAAGGAGGAGTCAAGGAGTTGAGAGACAACAGCCAGGTGCCAAGGAAGCAGGGCATGTAGAAAATGAGGTAATACACCATGAGCCAGGTGACAAAGCATAAATAGAAATATGGGTTAATTTAAATGTAACAGTTAGAAATAAGCCTGAGATCTTGGCTGATAAACCTGTGTGTGTTTATTTTCATGCAGTTGTAGGACAGAAAAACTTCCATCTACAAACCCAAACATGTTTTTGGGAAATTCCAAACTTGTAGTTCCTTTCAAATGTAGGGATGGTCTCAAGGACTCCTGAACATTGCACTGACCATCTTACACTCTGAAAAAAGGCACCCATCTTATTTGCTGTAATTGACTTACATATAAAAATGGAAAACCTCTGCTTGGGCTAGGGGTACACTGATTGCCTAACACGTGCAAGGTCCTGGGTTCAGTCCCTAGCACTGCACAAAAAGGGGGAGCAGATTTTTGAGGCTCTCAAGTTCAAGTTCAAGACAAAACAAAACAGCAACGAAACCTCCTCAACAGGCGTTGGTGGAGCACTTGGGAGGCAGAGGCAGGTGGATCTCTGTGAGTTCAAGACCAGCCTGGTCTATAAGAGCTAGTTCCAGGACAGCCTCCAAAGCCACAGAGAAACCCTGTCTCAAAAAACAAACAAACAAAAACCTTCTCCTCAAGGAATATATTTTCATGAAGTTTAATAACAAGTTGGTGTGATTTTATCTATTAGCAGGAATAAGGAAAGTTTGAAAACTAAAAACTTAAAATAAATTAGATACATGGTTTTTAGGGGTTTTGTGATTGTTGCTGTTTCTTTTTTCTTATTGGGAAACAGGGTTTCACTATGTAGTCCTGGCTGGTCTAGAACCTTGAGCTCACCGGAAGCAATCTGCCTTTGCCTTCTATAACTGTGACATAACTTACGTGAATATTAACAGTAGTATGCTACATAATGGTATTCTGATCAACAACAGACTGCATATATGACAGCGATCCCACAAGATAATACTGCCTAGTGAAGTCATGGTGGCGTTAGTCTGAGTGGGCATACCTATGAAGTTCATACAACACAACAATGCATATCTTACATATACTGATGTGAAGTGACAGTTGACTGGACACAGATACTTCCCTTAGCAAATTTAAGGACATACAATAACAGAACAATTAGAAAGAAATGTAAACATTTGGCTTGCCAAACTTCAGGGTATCAAGGGTTCATTTTCCATTCAAAAGCAATAAAATCAGGGAAAAAACAAAAAGAACCTCACCCTCATGTGACTCCCACCCCACCCCAGCTCCAGTCCTACAGTGAGGTCACTGTCCTTCACCATACTTCCGTAGCCATCTCCAGGATGGGCTGCGTGCCTTCCTATTACAAAACATGGCAGTGTGATTCCTTCTGCCTGGAATAAGCTTCCCTCTTCTGTTCACAAATTCATTTTTACTCACTGTTCAGTCCTCACTCAAGCATCTTTTCAAGTCATATCCTGACTTCAAGTGTTCTTACAGCACCATTTTCCCTTCCTTCAACTATCAAGTTATAATTTTAGTTTTGTTTAATTAACATCTGTTGGCTCCATTGGGCCAACAGCTACACAAAGTAGAAACCCTGTGCTTACCACTGTACTTTGAGTATATAGGACAATGCATGAATCTTAGAAGACATTTACCAGTGTTTTTACAAAAAAATGAATAAATATCAGTTTGCCATATTATAAAAATCTTTGCTAAATTTACTCATATTCTAAAGGTTTGTACTTTTTAAATTGTTCTTGCTGTTGTTTTGTTTTGATTTTTGAGACAGGGTTTCTCTATGTAGTCCTGACTGTCCTGGAACTCACTATGTAGACCAGGCTGACCTCAAATCAAAATATCTGCTGGACTCTGCCTCCCAAGTGCTACCATTAAAGGCCACCGCCTGGCACCCTAAAAAGTTTATACTTTCTTAAATAAAGTTTTACAAACTGGTTTAAATGTAGCTACCCATTAGCTACCCATAGAAAAGGTAAGTTTTATAACAACAGGCTCATCAAACAGATGCACTTACCCTTCCATGAGCATTGAAAGAGAACCCAGGATAAGAGTATGAATTACATGATAAATTATTTCTGGCCTTTCTCCAATTCTTCCATCTTCAAGAGTTACAGTTTCTTTCTGGGATTTACCACTATTGAAAGGAAACATGTTTTTAATAGTTTGGAAAAATATACATGAAAAATCAAATATTCATTACCATCTTTGAAGGCTATACTTAAAACTGAATTTCTTGTTTTTAAGATCCATTATGCAAGCCGGGAGTTGGTGGCGCTTGCCTTTAATCCCAGCACTCAAGAGGCAGAAGCAGGTGGATCTCTGTGAGGCCAGCCTGGTCTACAGACTGAGTGCCAAGATAGGCTACACAGAGAAAGCCTGTCTCGAAAAACAAACAAACAAAAAGATCCATTATGTCTGAATTAGTGCTAACCAATACAGTTAAACTTCAGAGTTAAGCTGTACCTAACCATCCTCCTCTTTTTTTTTAGTTGTGTTATTTTTTAGAACCAGGGCTTCCCCACCATCAGGCTGGCCTAGAACACATTATGTAACTAAGCATGTCTCTATTCCAGGCAATCCTTTTGATTTAGGCTATGTAGAGTTGAGATTACAAGCATGAGCTGCCATACCTGAATTCAAGATTCCGTTCTCTTTTATTTTAGTGCTAGGGGTCACCAAGTGCAGGTGTTTACACATTAAGTAAGTACTGTTATGTATTTATTGTCAGCCTGTAAGGGAGCATAACCATACAAATAGGGAGACTGACTGTGAAGTAACTGCTAGTGGTTCTTATATGTATTTAGTGTTGGTTTTTGCAATGGGGTCTCATGTAGCCTGACTACTCTGAACTTGGTATATAGGCAAGGCTGGCTCTCAAGATCCTGCCCTCACCTTTCAAGTGCTGGAATTACAAGCATATTAGAAGTACCCAGAACTACCTTTCCAGCATAATAAACATATTAAAAAACCATAATTATAGTGATTTTATTTATTTATTTTTTTTGCTTTTGTTTCTCATTTTTTGAGACAGGTTATCAGTATGTTGCCTAGGCTGCCCTTGAACTCACAATTCAACTCGGCCTCCTGAGTGCTTGGATTATAGACATGCCCCATCATACTCAGAAAAATTGGCAGTAATTTCAATGTGATTTGTACTGTAAAATATTTTGTGCTATAACACACACACACACACACACACACACACACACACACACACACACCAATGTCCAAAGATAGTGTTTTCCTGTGTAGCTCTGGCCATCCTGGAATTTGCTTGGTAGATGTCCTTTCTGTATGCTGTGAATATGTTTCTCTTATTGGTTCGTGGATAAAGCTGTTTTGGCCAATGGACAGTCAGGATGTAGCCAGGCAGGAAGTATAGGCAGGGCTACCAAACTAGGAGAAATCTGGAAAGAGGGATGCAGACAGTGAGTTGCCAGAGGAGATGCCATGTAACTACCAGGAAGGTAAGACATCCGGGCATTCTCCAGTAAGCCAAGACCATGTGGAAATAGAAATGGGTTAATAATTAAGGGAGAGGTAGCCAATAAGAACCCTTAGCCATCGGTCAAACAATTTATAATATAAACCTCTGTGTGTTTATTTGGAACTAAATGGCTGTGAGACTGAGTGGGACAGAAACTTCTGTCAACATAAAATCATAGATCAGCCCGCTTCAGCCTCTCAAGTGATAGAATTAAAGGCATGTGCCATTACACCAAGCCAAATATATTATCTTTACGTAAAAATTTTAGTTAATCAGTAAATAAGTCTGCAAAAGCTTAATCTATTACTTACATGTCCATAAATCAAAGCTGGATTCTACATATTCATATGTATAAAGCTAACATGAGCTTTCCTGATTAATTTACAATGACCCATGAAAAAAGAGTGGAATTGGAGGCTCTATAGAAGCAGTACTGAAAAGATGTGAGGTGGCACACACTGTAGGCTTAAATGATTTGGAGGCTGACTCAGGAGGATTGCTCAAGAATATGAGTTCTTAGTCATTTGAGGCAGCACAGCAAAACCTTTCTCTCACCCTCCTTTCCCCCTTAGAACTGAACCCAGGGCCCTGTGCAGGCTACTTCAGTGTTCTACCATAGCACTACACCCCTCACCCCAAACCAGGTCTCTAAAAATATAGCTGGATCTGAGTATAACTTAGTGACAGAGCATGTACTCGTCATGCATAAGGCCCTGGGTTATTAAACCCCAGCACCAGACAACACATGTATACACACTCATGCATTTTATATCTTTAAAATATGTTAATTAGCAATATAATTGGTTATTATAAACACTTACTTTATCCTCCTAAAAATAACTTGTGTCATAGACAGAAGACAAATGATTAACACTAAAATATAGAATGGTAATAGGGAAGATTGTGTCAATCGTAAAAAAAAATCCTGAGATGGTGCTTGGAGAGATTCTTGACAGAGCAGCCAGTTCAGTGTAAAATTCCTACAAGAGACAAAATGTATGATGTTAGAATCATATGTACTTTAAACCACCAAACATAAAGGTATTTTAAAATCTCAGTAAAAATGAAGATAAAACACATTTTCTAAATCCCAGTACTTGAAAGGTAGAGGCAGGTGGATCTCTGTGAGTTCAAGGCCAGCCTGGTCTACAAAAAGTGAGTTCCAGAACAGCCAAGGTACATAGAGAAACCCTGTCTAAAACAACAAACAAACAACAATAACAACAACAATAAACACACTGGCTTGAAACAGCCCTCAACCTTAAAAGACTGTGGCATGAGCTCAGGGTTAGGGGTAAAGTTAACAGAAAAAGACCTCCCGTCTGGAGGGCTACACCAGCTTGCACTGTCTATGTACCAGGTGTACAGTCTCAAGGATCCTTTATCTTAGTGAATAAAGATATATATCAAACACTTCATTTGCTAACTGTGTTATACCATAATGAGAAATTCAATCTACAACCCTATACAATCACACATGTGAGAAAAAGGTTCCCAACCCTTCTTGGAACTTGAGACATGTATAAGCAAATATCAGTACATAATCATTTCTTTTATTTTTGTTTCATAAAACAAAGCAAAAAGTAATTCAACAACTAGAAATACAACATTATTTTTTAATTAAAAATAACAATAAACCCCAGGCAGCTTTTGGTCTAATCATAAAACCAATGACTGTTTTAGGAAACAAATACTCCGTCTGCCCTTTGCCCTTTTCTTTCCTCTTGTTTGGCAGTGTTAGAGATTAAACGCAGGGCCTCTCACATGGAGGCAAAGGCTTCATTACTAACTACATTCCAAGTCTGCTACTGAGCTTTTTACAGACAAACAGTGCTGACCCAATGGTTATTGCTTATTTTATTTGTTTTTCTGCAGTACTGTCGATCAAACCTAGGGCTATGTACTTGCTAGGCCTGCACTCTGCCCCTCAGCTGCATTACCAGTCATGATTTTAAGCCTTTACTTATTCTAACTTAGACTGTGCTGTTGATCTTCACCAAAGGTCAGACGTAAAATACTATGAGGGAGCTGGAGAGATGGCTGGGTGGTCCACGCACCCGAGGCTCTTGCAGAGAACCTAAGTTCAGTCTCAGCTCCCACATCAGGTGGAGCTGAGACTCTCAAATCCACCTGTAATTCCAGTTCCAGAGAATCTGGTCTCTGCATTCACCTGTACATGCATGCCAGCACAATATACATATAAATAAAAATAAAAATAGCATGGCAGTGGTGGTGCACACCTTTAATAACAGCATAGGGAGGCAGAGGCAGGCAGATCCCTGTGAGTTCAAGGCCAGCCTAGTCTACAGAGAGAGTTCTAGGACAGCCAAGGCGACACAGAGAAACCATCTTGAAAAACCAAAATAAACAAATATAAAGGATAAATCTCTTTAAAAAAAATACTACGAGGTCAGTGAGATACTCACAAGTAAAGGAACTTCCTATGCAAGCCCCATAATCTGAGTTGGACCCCTGGTGCCCATGGTAAAAGAAAAGAACTAACTCCCAAAACTTACCCTCTGATCCTTACACATGTGCTGTGGCAAACACATGCTTACTTCCACATATACAACATATGCACACACAACAATAAGTAAATAAATAATTCAATAAAAATATTATAATGTTGTTAAAAGTTTAAGTATATCTACTTTTTAGGAGACTAGGAATTTATTTATTTAAGCTGCTGTTGAGGTATTCCAACCACAGTCCCAAGCATGCTAACCATGTGTTTTCCCTGCAGTGCTGGGTGTAGAACTGGGGGCCCTGTGCATACTAAGCAAATGCTCTACCAACTCCCCTCAGCCCCACTCCAAATATCAATGTCATGTCTCTTCTATAGGGCTAGGACAATAGTTCTGTGGTAAGATATTGCCTATAATTCTCAAGGCCCTAGAGACAATGCTCAATTCCATAAATCAAAAACCAATAAGTAACCTATATAATATCCAAAACTATTTTCTAAGTGACATCTAACACATTCCCTCCGTCAAGTGTTCTTTTTTTATTTTCTAGGTGCTATAGATTAAGTGAATGTGAAACTTACTTAGTCACATTCAGTCCAAATTTCACTTCAAGAAACTTCAGCACATGCTCATTTTCTTTGTGTGGGACAAATGTCTAGAAGAGAGAGAATTAAGTAATCAGGCACCATGGCCAACTTGTGAGGTATCATTTTCACAGAAGAGAAAACATCTAGACAAAGAACACTCCCTATGCCTAATACCTATGATTTTTTTTGTTGTTGTAGTTTCTGTTTTTTTGAGACAGAGTTTCTCTGAGTAGCTCTGGCTGTCCAGAAACCCACTAGGTAGTCGAGGCTGGCCTGGAACTCACAGAGATCCACCTGCCTCTGCCTTCCCCAATACTGTGATTAAAGGTGGGGGCTACTACCACCCATCTCTGTCTAAGCTTTTAACAATGTATGCATTTCTAATTACTAATGATAGAAAACACAGCCAGATTAAAAACAGTGAGTTAAATAACACACAGTGTGACTATAAACACATTTACTGTATGCTTAGGCATTTTGAGAGTATGAAAATTTCAACCTAAGAGAGCTGATTCAAATAATCCCTGCTCCTGAAGTTGTTGGTTTGTTTGGTTTTTCACACAGTCTGATGTAGAGGACACTAGCATCAAACTCACTGTGTCATTGAAGATAATTTTGTATATACTCTATACCTTTGCTAGCTTATCATTCTCATTGAAGCTGTAATAATATATTTCTCTACTCAAATCAATCTAGATATAAATCTCAGAGTCACTTACCTTCATTATCAAATTCAAGGTCAGTGGCAGAGTACATACCAAGTAAAACTTAAACACTTTGATTACTTTAGCTACAAAAGTTCCTTTTTTCCCATTCAGCTATAAAGAAAAAAAACAAAATCCCATGAACAAAGGAGTGAGTTATAAGCATTAACAATTTACAATAATAAGACTACGTTTTAAAACAGCAATGTTAATTACCTGAAGGCACTTAATAAGCATTAATGAGCCTACTAAACTTAATAAAGGAGACACCAATAAAGCTGGATTCTCAAACTGTAGTAAATACCCAAGGAAGAGAGAAAATATGTAGATCTTATATACTTCATAAACCTGTTGGAGCAAAAATAACATAAATGAGAATAAAATGAATTTTAAAAATGGTAATTATAAGCAATGCTCTGCTATAATTTAGTACAGTGTTAGGAAATGTTCGATCTGTATTTTTAGCATTATAGTATATAATGAACTAACCATATTCTTCTTAGCATTCCATAGAAACAAAGTAAAGAGCTCTAAAATCTAAAGTGAAAGCTGAAGAACTTTGTTTAATGCCACACTTTAATTTTGCTTGGTTTCTGTTTTCAAGTCAGTTTTATGTAGGTGTGATACAGCACTGACAACAAACCCAGCCTTGGACGGCTGGTACAGGATTATAAATAAAGATGAGCTTGGACTACATGGCAAGAGCTTGTCTGAAATGGGCAGTGGCTCACACCTTTAATCCCAGCACTCAGGAGGCAGAGGCAGGCTGATCTATGTGAAGTTGAGGCCAGCCTGGTCTACAGAGAGAGTTCCAGGATAGCCAGGGCAACACAGAGAAACCCCTGTTTAAGTAAACAAAAGAAAACAAAAAGATAACTTAAAATATAAATAAATAAACCTAAAAAGAGAGATTTCACTGTAACAAGTCATGATATCCTTGGAGAATGCTAAGCATGCTTGGGAGAGAGTGTAATAGTCTTCTGGTATTGGTAATGTTCAATGCTTGACTTGGCTACTTCCATACAAATGTGTGCCATTACAGAGGAACTAACTCTCAGCTCCCAGCCAACTTCTCCTGCACACTTCTCTTTTCCAGGTGAAGTTCTGGCAACAGGAAAGCTTCAGGGAAAGTGCAAAACTGGAAGAAGAAAATGTTTGCTCTCTTCTTGCTTCTTGTTGGCTTACACTTCCTCCAAACTTTACCTAAAAGACTGTCAGTTCTTGACCCCAACAAAGCAGTTCCTCCTGTCGAGCTCACTTGATGATACAGCTCCATCCCTCCTACTTCCGGCTGTTGCTACTTCCACAATACTTTCAGGCCCCTATTATCATCAGCCTTCAACTGACCAATTATTAAGACAACAACTTTATTCTTGATTAACAATTGCTTTGGAGAGTGGTTTTGAGGATTTTGGTATTACAACTAAACTGCAGACTTTCGCATGTTCAGCAAAGTGCTCTGCCACTGAACTAGCTGCACAGTCTTAGTTATTGAATCTGTAAATTAGGTCCTCTCTGTTCAAACAATTTAAATTTTGACAGTTTAATTAAATCACAGTTAAATTAAATTAAATCACAGTTCTGACAGCTGAGAATAAAAAATGGAGATATAGAAAAAAGTTTTAAGAAACAATGCTCTAAGAACATTAGCTTTTGCATTAAATTCCTTATTTCAAAATGTCATACTACCTTGTCACCTTGTTCCTCTGCGAAGACGTCCAGCAGCAGCAGAGATACTGCTTGGAGAAACAAGACATAGTGGCTGTACTCCCATGCCATCATGAAAGTGTACGTCGAGGCGCTCATCAACAGGTAGCAAAACCTCTAGAGAAAAACATCAGCTAAGATCAGTAGCTTTACTACTATAAAGATCCAAGGAGCTACAACACTTGAAGCTATTTTTAAACTCACAGTGCCACTCAAGTGTAGTGGTGCATGCCTTAATCCCAGTACTTGGGAAGTAGAGGCAGGTGGGTATCTATAAGTTCAAGACCAGCCTGGTCTACATATAAGTTCTAGGACACATCCAGGTCTATGTAGAAAGGCCCAGTCTCAAAACAAAATAAAACAAAACAAACAAACTCAACAGGATTGGAACAGAGCGCAGAGAGAGAAATCAGCACCTCTCCTTCCGTGTATGACAAAGGGGTAGGACAGAAGGGGGTAGAGTTCGAGGTACAGTTTTTTGTACCTGAACTGTTAGACCCTGAAGGTTTCATTTGCATGTAAAACAACATGAACACACTTCAGCTCTGTAAGAGCCATTTCCCATAGTTCAGTGCTTCTTCTGGTGCTAGGGATCTCACACAAGGCTTCAGCCCTGCAAGTATCCTACCATGGAGGTACATCTGCAGCACAGGTCTTTACATTTTAAACATTAGTTCTTAGTGGAGAAAAATGAACTGCCAAAGCTGCTTTTATGGTATTTATTTTGAACTAAAACAATTTTCTTTAAAAAAAATGGTTTTTTGATGTCATTCACTTCTACTGGAAAAAAAAATTTTTTTAGTAAAATTTGTTCAGTAAACTTTTTTTATTATTGTGTATCATTTTTGTTTTACCCGTGGACAGGACTTTGAATTCATCATGTCACTAAGAATAACCTGAGCCCTTGCTTTCTGCTTCCCAAGTTGTGGGATCACAGGTGTGGGCTACAACACCTAGCTGTTCTTTTGTATATTTTAAAATATTTTTAATAAACTTTACCCCATTTATACCATATTGTTATTTTTATGGAACTTTTTTCTTTACAATGTTTCATGCTATGCTGCATTTATTATTTTTAAGGTTTTTTTTTTTTTTTTTTTTTGAGACAAAGTCTCTATACTATGGAGCTCTGGCTACCCTGGAACTCATTATGGAGACCAGGCAGGCCTCAAACTTAAAGATCCTCCTGCTTCTGCCTCCTGAGTACTGGCATTAAAGACATGCATCATCATACCTGGCTTACTATTTTAAGTTTCATAAAATGAAATATAGATATAATATTGCACTATATTAGATACATGGTCAAAAACAATTCTGTCTGTACCAAGCTTTTTCTTTTGGGCCACCAACCAGCTCCCAAATCATGACACAAAGACTTCTTATTCGTTATGGATACTTGACCAACTAGTTTTCTGGCTAGTTCTTTGAACTAAATTAACCTGTTTCTCTCTAGCTACCTTGTGCCTCAGGGGTTTTATCTTTCTTACTTTCGTTCAGGCCGGTGGAGGCTGTGTGACTTCTGGCCCCAGGCATCTCACTCACTCACTCTCTCCTCCTCCTTCTCTGGTTCCTTTCTCCCATCTACTCTCTCTGCCCAGCAAGGTGAAACAAATGCAACACATCTTTACATAATTAAACACACATCCTTACATCATCAAACAAATGCAGCATAAGCAAATGTAACATATCTTTACATAATTAAACACACATCTTTACATAATTAAACAAATGCAGCATGAACAAATGTAACACATCTTTGCCCAGTTAAAATAATACTCCACCAGGCATTGGTGATGCACACCTTTCATCCCAGCACTTGGGAGGCAGAGGCAGGCAGATCTCTGTGAGTTTGAGACCAGCCTGGTCTACAAGATCTAGTTCCAGGACAGCCTCCAAAGGCACAGAGAAACCCTGTCTCATAAAACAAAAAATAAAATAATATTCCACAACACCTATCATTGCAAATGTAGCCACAGTAAAAACAATATTACCTTTCAGTTTTCTAATGTGTTTGCTTCTTAATAATGTAAAGTACAAATGGAGATTTAAAATAGAGGAAAGAATCCTCTTTGTTTGGTCTCTCTGGTCTCTTCCTAGCCAGGAACTGTTTATCAAGACAGGCAGGCAAACTGCCAAAGGTCTGCTACATTCCAGTCAATTTCAAGATAATTAACCGCCCCTGTAGACATGCGTCTCACTAAAGTTATTCTGTGGCACAGTCTATAAGGCATCATTCAATTGACAATAGGATTGTGGCGATAAGATTAACAAAAAATTAAGAATTAAAAGTGATCTGGGATGGACGTTTCCTTCAATTTTGACTAACCTACTACAATTCAGACAGGGAAGACATGAGGGTGAACAAAAGAATATGCCATACTGCCATCAAAGTTCACACCACTGTCATTCTCCATCACTGTTGTATCTTCAGTACTATTTCTTTAGGTTCTGATGACTAAAGGACATAAATGTCCCTGAAATAAGAGAAATGGCAAAAACAATACTCGGATGGATTAACTTTCAAAATGAGATATTTTTCATGTAATTGTCAAATAACCACATTAAAAGTTATATAACATCTATTTTTCTAAAAATATTTGGCTGCTATCAGATTACAGAAAAAACATGATATAACAACTACCTAACTATATGTTACATAGAACATGCTTCACTGAATATAACTAAACTCCTAATATGACTTACTCTAAAATTATGCAACATAATACACCAAGTTGAGAAACAACTGTAATCCTACATGGAGCCAGATGGATTAAGTACTCAAGGCCTAGCCTCAGCTATGTAATGAGTTTGAAGCCAGCCTGAACTACAAGAGATTTTTGTCTCAAAACAAAAGAAAACATGTCCACATTTGCAAAGCATCAGAATTAGCTGTGCTATATAAAACAGATTTTCATCTTACCTCTGCATAAGTATTTAAGTTTCTTTTTAAATACCCTGTAAGTGCAGCAACTTGGCATGCAAAGTAAGGTAGAGCCCAGTTTTCTCTTAAAGGAATGGAGTATTCGATTCTTGTTGTATCTACCCTAAAATAAACCACAGAGGAACACCAAAAGTGAGGATACACTTGTGTAACATTCTACCTTTCTTTATCTTATTGAGTATTATTATTTTATGCATACACATATGAATGTTTTGCCTGTATGTATATCTGTGTACCATGTGTGTGCCTGGTGCTCTGGGATGCCAGAAAAGTGCATCAGATTCCTAGAACTGGAGCTATAGACAGTTGTGAACTGCCACTCGGGTGCTAGGAATTAAACCTGGGTCCTCTGAAGAGCAGCTAGTGCTCTGAACTGATGAGCCAAGGTGATTCACAGCAGCAATCCCAGTATTTGGAAGGCAGAGGCAGGAGGATCATTGCAAGCTTGGAGCCTGGTCTACATATCAAGTTCCATGTTAGTCAAAGAAATATAGCAAGACCATCTCAAAAGTACTAAAAATAGGGAAATAAAAAAGTGAAAGAAGTCAGAATAATTAGTTCCCTGTTTATGAAATTGTAATCAGTTTTAGTTACCTAATATGTAAGAGTATAAACAGTCAGAATTTGGGACCGATGAGTGGGAGGCTCACTGGGCAAAGGTACTTCCAACAAACAATCCCTGAGCCCCACAGTGGAAGGGGAAACCAGCTCCTGAAAGGTCTCTTCTGACTTACACACATACACTTAACCAGTCAACCAACACAATGTAAACAAAAAGTAAAGTTCATTGAACTAAACACTTAAAATCCTTATATTTTGTTTTTAACTTTTTTTTTTTCAAAAATACCAAGAAAAAACAATGATACTATGTCTTTGAGGGTTTGAGTTCCTATATCAGAATACCATGGACTTTGCAATTTGTAAAGAACAGCAAGGCATTGCTCACAGTTCTAGAAGCTAAGAAACCCAAGACCAAGGAAGGTGCAGGGGACTGGTGTCCATTGAGAACCCAGTCCTCACAGATGAAACCTTCCATCCCTTTCCTCACATGTATATGCTAGGAAAGCCCTCCAGCTCACAGCCACATCCCAGTGCCCTTCACCATTTCTACAGGGGCAGAGGAGTCTTCAGAAAGACTCCTCTTCATTCATGACCCCATCCCTCAATAGTATTTACATTTACATTACATTAACAACTGAATTTTAATATATGAACTCGGGGGAGACACATTCAAAGCATAGAAGAACAAATGGCAATTCTAACAATTCTGGGCTTGGCAAAGATTTTTTAATTATGACACAAAAGTATGAAAGAAAGGAAAATTAAAACCCAACTCAATGGACTTGATCAAAATATAAAACTTTCAATTTTCGCCAGTTGGTGGTGGTGCACGCCTTTAATCCCAGCACTCAGGAAGCAGAGACAGGCAGATCTCTGTGAGTTCCAGACCAGCCTGGTCTACAAGAGCTAGTTCCAGGACAGCCTCCATAGCCATAGAGAAACCCTGTCTCGAACCCCCCCCCCAAAAAAAGAAAGCATGTGGCCAGTTGTGTGTCTCATGTGTTTAATGCCAGCACTCAGGAGGCTCAGGCAGGCAGATCTCTGTGAGTCTGAGAACAGCTTGGTCCACAAAGGAAGTTCTGGGAGACCCAGGGCTACAGAGAGAGAGACAGAAAGAGAGAGGGGTGGAGGGAGAGGAGAGAGGGGAGGGAGGAGGGGAAAGTAGGGGAGG